AGTTGAAGAAACATTAAATTGTGAAAATCTTTCCACAGCATTTAATTTTTATTTTGTGCTTTGGAGAGACTTGCACAGTAGTACCAGACAGTACCAGTTTCTTCTCTTTATCACAAAATTATATACATGCTTATATAAAAGGCATTTGTAAAAAATAAATAAAAATAAAATAAAACAAAATAAAATAAGTGCATATTTGTTTCACCTTGTCCTGAGGGTTGCTGGGATTGCCTTTGTCCACCACTAGATGGCAGACTTGCAAAGAGATTTGAGCGATGGACACGCACACAGTTAGCTCAGTCTGAACTTATTCTTCTTGTTCTCATGCTACTTAAAGCTTATGTAACACTATTCATTTGTTGGTCTCTAGATATTAAAGGGCCTTTTTTTTTTTTTTATACCAGAAATGGGTAACACTATCATAAAAAGACACTAATAGATTATTTTGGGCCACTAATAGCAATCTATATGCATATGTTTTGTCTGCTCACACTTTAAAGAACTGAAACATTACACGGCTTGCCTGACATGTTCACACAGAGCTTAAGGGTGTGATCATTTCCTGTGAATCATTTGCACACATTTTTCTGTTCTGTCACTCTATGTGAGATATGAGTCTTGTGAACGAATAAGGTTATATCAGGCCACAGTAGGAACCGAAAACTTTCTGTATGATGTTGAGGTCATTTCCTTCTTCTGGAGTTCCTGTATGCCCTCCTGGTGCTGCTGTGAAAGTTTTGTATTTTGACTTGTTCTTCACCCATAATACTGACTCTTCAGAAAAGCTTTTAAAAAGGAGTCATATGATGTGATTTCAATTTTTCCTTTCTCTTTGGAGTGTTACAAACTCTTGGTGCATAAAGAAGATCTGTAAAGTTGCAAAGACTAAAGTCTCAAATCCAAAGAGATATTCTTTATAAAAGTTAAGAGTCAACCATGCCTACCTAAAACGGCTCGTTCTAACACGCCCCCACATGTCTACGTCACGATGTGGGAAGATTTGCATCCCAAATGTTCACGCAAAGAAAGAAGGCGTAATTTTTATTCTCGCTGTAGTATTGTTGTTGCCACCACAGCCATGTCGTGAAGGCACTGTGTGTTTCGTTGTGAAAGCGAAACAATTTTGTTTGGCCTTCCAAAAGAGGACGATATCCGCTTCGTTATGCCTGGAGCTGATCCGTGCTGGTCGCTGAGGAAATACATCAACTTCGCGCTGTGGATCGCCGGGTCGTCTTTCACCGTGGACGAAGCGGAGTCCAGCCCAGGGTCATCACATGTGGTTGCCGCAAGCCCGCCGGACACTCCTTCGTCTCCTTCGCCGCTCACTCTAGCCCGCCGTGTGTTTCGTTGTGAAAGCGAAACTACTTTGTTTGGCCTTCCAAAAGAGGACACGACTAGAAATCAGTGGCTAAGTTGTATTTACAACACTGTTCCAGAACAGTTCAACCCAAATATTCAGATGTCCAGCGCATTTTATGGAGGACTGTTTCCTGATCCTGGAAGAGTAGACTACAATGCCGGCTGTTCTGACTCACAGACTGTAAGTACGTTTTTTATATTTAAGGAATTTGCCACTGACGATTCAAACGCGAGTTTTGTAGCAGTGTAGAGTAGCACTTGTTGTTTGTCATTTCTCCGATCACAAACGCAGACATGGTTTTATGTTTATGCGGCGCGATGCAACGCAACGCGTAAAAAGACCGTATTCACTCTTAAAAATATAGGTGCTTCACGATGCCATAGAAGAACCTTTTTGTCTAAATGGTTCCATAGAGAACCTTTAACATCTGAAGAACCTTTCTGTTTCACAAAAGGTTCTTTGTGGCGAAAGAAGGTTCTTCAGATTACAAAAAGGTAAGAAAAGAGATGGTTCTTTAAAGAACCTTTGACTGAATGGTTATTTGTGGAACCAAAAATGGTTCTTCTATGGCATCGCTTGAAGAACCTTTTGAAGCACCTTTATTTTTAAGAATGTAAGTCATTATAATCCGTAATTATGTCCCCATTGGATGCAACAAATGCCTCATTTATAATGGGTTTTAATGTTTTTGTCTCGTCGCTTCGGCCGGACAGGGCATCACAATATGGTAACCTTTCCGTCACACGCTTGAGGTATTCGGCCAATCACAACGCACTGGATAGCTGGCCAATCAGAGCACACCTCGCTTTTCAGACCAATTAGCTTTGTAAAAATCGATGCGATTCAGAAAGGCGGGGCATAGAGGATTAACAATAATGTACAGTATGTGGAAAATAATGTGTTTTTTTAACCTTAAACCGCATAAACGCATTTCATTACACCAAATCACATCATATGACCCCTTTAAAAAAACTTCTACAGTTTGAACTAATTACAAAATACATATACTCTACTGTACAAAAGTGTGGCGTCGCTAAAATATATTAAATGTGTATATATATATGTATGTGTGTGTGAATATAACGGTATTATCTTCTGATAGGTCAATTTTTAAAAGGTTGTAATTGTAAATGTTATTCAAACTATTTTCCATATTAAGTTAATGTCATTATTACGATGTCCATTGTCAGCAAAAGGAGCCTGCTCATTTGAATAAGTTACAGTGAGTCAGCAGAAAGGCCTGCCTTATGAAAACTGCTTCCCAATGCAAACATTTCCATTGATTTACCTCAGGACACCTTATGTTTATCCAGCCAACTAGAAAACTCAAATATTTTTCTTGTATCACTGTATAAATTTGCCAATATGCTTTTTATTTGTCCAGATAGTCTTTAAGTGAGTGTTTTTGTGTTTTTACCAGAGTAAAGTTTGGTGCACATGTATACGTGTGCAGTTAAAACATTATTTTGTGTATTTGGTGTAATGCAATGTGTTTATTTTAAGGTAAAAAAAAAACACATTATTTTCCACATACTGTACATTATCGTTGCTCCTCTATGCCCCGCCTTTCTGAAACGCGTCGATTTTTACAAAGCTCATCAGTCTGAAAAGCGAGGTGGGCGCTGATTGGCCAGGTATCCAGTGCGTTGTGATTGGCCGAATGCCTCAAGCATGTGATGGAAATGTTACGCCCCTTACCATACTGTGATGCCGTGTCCCGGAGCGATGAGACAAAACCAATAAAACCCATTACAAACGAGGCATTTGTTGCATCCTGTGGGGACATAATTACTAATTATAATGGCTTATACAGTCTTTTTACGCATTGCGTTGCATATCGCGCCGCGTAAACATAAAACCATGTCTGCATTTGTGATCTGAGAAAGGACAAACAACAAGCACTACTCTACACTATTTGCATTTGAATCGTCAGTGGCAAATTATTTAAATATGAAAACATACTTACAGGCTGTATCAGGCTGAGTCAGAAGCGCCTTGCAAAGTTGGAATTGCCACACTTTATAGAAATAGCCTTTGTGCACATCCGCATTGTAGGCTACTCTCCCAGGAAACAGTCCTCCATAAAATGTGCTGCATATTTGGTTTGAGCTGTTCTGGAACAGAGTTGTAAATACAACTTAACCACTGATTAGTAGGGATGTGCGGGTCTAGTCGACTAGTCGACTAAACGGTACAGCTCCTACTAGTCGACACTGAAAACAATAGTCGATTACATGACAGAAAAGAAAAAGAAAAACAGGATTTTATCATTCACATTACCATCATTTTAACGTTGCATTTAAAACATTTTAAATAAGTTAAAATGAAAACGTTTGAAAAATAATACATAATTTTTTTAAGTTTATCTGGGCGGAAACTACATTTTTACCTCAGTCCTCACATGCATTTTTTTCGTGTCAGTTGCAGCGAGTCCAAAAATGGCCTTGCGAAAGACGAGAAGGTGTGGGATTATTTAGAATTAGAAGGAAACTGAAAAGTTTTGAGTAAACTGTGTAATGTCAAATTGTCTTACAATAACTCTACTGGAGCGATGCGTAATCATATTCAATACAGGTACGTAGGCGTTAGCTTAGAGGCTGGCCAAAGCCAGCAAATGTCAATCACGTCATTCACTACAACCCGCAGCCGCTGCAATCCCGTCCGCGCCGTCTATTCCTCTAACGAAGACCCACTTCGGTGGTGGTGCGGGATGTCCAGGCGCTTTCTGAAACTCTATCGGCTTGCTTTTCGTTATCTCTGCGTGCCTGCGACTTCAGTTCCTGCCGAGCGCGTTTTTTCAAGTGCAGGAATTTTATTGTTAATTGCCTCAGGTCCCGTCTTTCACCAGACCACATTGATAATTTCACTGAACAAATAACGCATGGTCTGAGTAAGTAAAATGGGCATTGTTTTGTTTTTAGACAATGTTTTTTCAAAGTTCGCCGCCTTTCTTTGCATGAACGTTTGGGCAGTGTTGTGCAAATCTTCCCACACAGTGACGTAGACGTGGGGGCGTGTTTAAACAAGGCGTTTTAGGAGGGCATGGACGAGTCCTAACTTTTATAAAGAATATCTCTTTGGGTTTGAGACTTTAGTCTTTGCAACTTTAGGGATCTTATCTATGCACGAACAGCTTGTAACACTCTTAAGAGAAAGGAAAACTTGAAACCGCATCATATGACCCCTTTAAGCAGATCAAACATGCCCCATAAACTTGTTCACCCACTGCCCTGCTGTAAACTGGAAGTGAAACCATCAGTGTGTGTGTGGGTGTGAGAGACTTTGACTGTTTGACAGCATGCCTTCTGAGCTATTTTTTATTCAGTTTTTCCCTCAGTGGACGGGAAATATGTAAGGGAAGTTATAGATAGAATTGTGTATGCGTGTTTAAGAGGGGAATGTGAAGAGCAGCTCTAGTTTTAAACCTGATAAAACTTATCAGAACGCAGCAGCAGCCTTATCACTTTTTGTTATGCACTCTCTAGCCATCACAGACAGTTGAGTCTTCCTCCCTCCCTCCCTTCCTTTAGAAAGGAGAAACCTCTGGGCGTGGTTGGTAGCAGCTGTGTTTTGATTGGTTGCTCTCCCAGGCGTATATTATCACCCGTTGGACACGTCCTTGCTCCACCCAGATAACGCACTCAAGCTGAAAGGCTCCTCCTACTGTTGTCAAATCATCACATCAAAGTGTTCAGTCTATCCTGCATGAACAGACAGGTAGTAAGGTTGGCCTCTCGCTGTGTGAAAGCTCAAGTGAACTTTAGGTTACGTTTTGCAAAGTGCTCACAGCTGGCATGTGGGGAATATCAGGCAGGTGGAAGAACGCAGTGACTGGATTTACAAGTGCTCACTTTTACCTAATTCCAGCATTTGTCGTCTTGGATTTACCACCATCAGCTTCTGCACTACGATAAGAGATCATATCCACTTTGTCTGGGTGCTTGTGTATATAGAGACTTCTAGTTTTAACTGACACGACAAAGAGGAACCTGTGGTGAAGTCCAAGTTTGACAAGCTGTGGTTTTGCTTGGGCGGAGGAGCTGTTCTGCGGTCGTCTGTCTGGTCCCAGGCGGCCTGATTCCTCAAGAGGTGATGGTGGGTGGCAGGGCCGTTACCGTGCGCCCGCACAGGCGCTTGGAGTGAAAGAGTTGCAGTGCAAACATGGAATTCTTCAAGAGTCTCGTTCCCACAGTCATCTCCGGGGACGGCGGACTGCCGGCAACGGACGCGGGGGGAGTGTGGCCACGGGAGACCGGCCCTCGCTTGCTAAGGATGAAGAGGCTGGTTTCACAGGCCAATGAAGAGGAGCAAGATGGATCCAGTCTGACTAGCCGGCCGGCTGTCCGTCTTCAACGACATCGTGCCAAAGGTACCGTCAGGAAAGAGGAAGGGACGGGTATTCAAACATTAATTTAACTGTCGCAGAGAGGAATGTTTGATTTGGAGGTGTGTGTGCAAGGTGTCGTGTTTGCACCATTTTTGTTTATAGTTCAGCTGTGATATATAAGATAAATCGCAGACAAGAGGGAACAAGCAAATGCTTTGTGTAACCGAACTGTTTGCAAAGTCTTAAGTTGGTCATCAGTGAGAATTATAAAACCAGGAATTTTAAAGTATTTTATGCAATACAAATGCAGAAAGCACATTACAGTACATGTTACATACCAAACTTTGTCTCCCAATCTTTCTGGCCATCTCAGGCCAGTCAGGGAGCAGTATTATCATGAGTGAAATAATATCAATTGTAGTAGTTTTTTACTGTGTGTTTGATCAAATAAATGCAGCTTTGGTGAGCATAAGAGACTTCTTTCGGACACACCGATGTTCCCAAGTGTGTTTAAATGCTCCATACCAGTCACTCTTATTCAAGTAACTATATTTTTAAGGTACTGCAACTCAGTATCACTTAATCTATTGAATTGACCAAATGCAGTAAAAATGTTAAATATTATTACAACTGTTTTCTGTTTTTGATATATTTTCAAATGTAAATGAATTCTCATCAGCCAGTTGTGCTGCTTTGTTTTTGTGGAAACTGAAGATTAGAAAGTTCAAAAGACCAGCATTTATTTGAAATATAAATATTTTGTAACATTATAAATGTTTTACGGTCACTTTCGATCTATTTAATGCATCCTTGATAAATAAAATATAAATTTCTTAAAAAAACAAAAAAAAACATGTCCCTAAAAGTGTATAATATGATATACCTTGTCGGCAAAAGTGGTTTAAAATGTAAAACGTACAAATATAAAGTGATTTGAAATTTTTAAGGAGTTCACAACAACAGTTAAAATAAGTAGTTACCAAGTGACAAGCATGTGCTCACACACACGCACAAGTATTTGCAGTTTAATGATGACAACAGCATTTAATCAGTCGTTGTCAGGACGAGCTGTTTTGATAATTGAGAATGCTTGCAAGTTCTCTGCACAGTGCAAAGTGTCAATAATAACAAACAGCTCTCATGTACCGTCACCTTTTTAGACAGGGTAAACCTTTCAAAAGTCTCTCAAATTTATCTTATTGTTTTAATTATTGGACAATTTTCCTTTGCAGTAACTAGATTTACAAATAATCAACCACCTCTTTGATTTTAGCCTGTAGTTGAACCTTGAAGCTTTAGATGCATATTCTCATTAATTGCTTTGATTTGTTTCTCAATGGATATTGAATGAGTCAGCGTTGGCAGGAACATTTTTCTATTTGGTTGGGTAGTGCCTGTTCCCAGCTCAACCTGTTTCTTCAGCTGGAAGGCAGCTTTACAGACACAATCACATAGATCTGCCTTCTTCAGTGCGTTACATAACTGATGTTCTCTGCTGCTGCTGCTGATATTAGTGGTGTTTTGATGGTGCTTCTGTTTGTGTTTCTGCTCTGGATGTTGCTGCGTGCACATGAGCTGTATGCAGGAGGAGGAAGGATATGGAGACTCTGCAGTATGTTGTGTGTCTAATATTGGTCCTCTCCAGGGCTTTCCAGGGCCACTGATCTGGAATCAGTGATCACAGTGTCAAACAGACACAGTTGCTCTGTCATGTGATCAGACTTCACTTCATTAAACTGCAATGGAAGTTTATCTTGGAAAAATGAGTGCTTGTGCATGTGGGGGTTTCTTTCAGGCAGCATGTGATTCATAATCAGGACTGGATGAGCAGAAATGCAAGTTAAGAACAGGCCACACATGCAAACGGTTCATAAAGTTGAACACTGGGGTTGACAAAGCTGACAAAAAATAAAATGCAGTTCATCAGCAATAAATTGTATTTATCGCCTTCATTTCTTTTTTTCTTTCACTCTTGCACTCCCTTTTGCTTATTTGCTCTTTCTCTCCCTTTTATTACTTTGCTTTTGTTTGTTAGTTCATTGCTGCTTTCTTTCTTTCATTTCCTCATTCTTTTTCATTTTTTACTTTCCTTTTTGTTTTACTTTTTCATTCCCCCCCCCCCCCATTTTTTCGTCACATTTTGTTTGCCTTTTCTTTTGTTCGTTCACCCTCAGTGTTTCCCCTGCCATTATTTTAGGGGGGCGGCACCCCCCCCCCCCCTTGAAGGTCAAGTTAATTTTATTTAATTAAATTTTCTCTATAGCGCCAGATCACAACAGATGTCATTTAAAGTTACCTTTCTTATAGAACATGTCTGTACCTTGTTTTTTTATTAAGCAAACTAAATAGCCTTATGTTATTTGTCTTATTTACACGACGGCATGTCATTTCAGTCTCTACGTTATGGTCGCGCTCTCTGTATCACGCACAGCAGAGTTCCGCCCCGCGTGCGCTCACACACACACACACGTAAGCCCACTCCCACTAGTATTTGTAAATATTAAGCCGCAAAACGATTCATATTTAAATATGAATTCTGCGTGTCTCTGTGTTAATGAATGGCACAGATGCGTGGTTTTGTGTAGTACTCGTACTGAAACATTCGTGACGCTTCCGGTGTATTTTCCAAAAAATAAAATTTGTTTAATTTTCATTACTTAAAAGATAGATTAAATGAATGTTTTATGCCTTAAAACTAAATGTAAATACACAACGCAGAATTTCTGAGCAAAAAAATCATAAGGCTATTGTAAGAATAAATTAAACTTGTTTTATGCTTTCAAATTAGACATGCTAAAACAGAATTTGGTTACAATAAAACATAAGGTTGGACAAATAAAACATTTCATAGGGCCCTAAACGTAATATTTGTTAAACTTTTAATAATTTGATGTTAAATTGTTTAAGTTTCATGATTTTAATTAATTAGACATGCTTTTTGATTAATAATGTAATTTAACCAGAGTTAAACCATAAAAAAAAACGGAATCTTTACCACTCCGTTCATTCACTCCCCCCCATAACTCGCTTTTGCTTGGTTTCATTTGTTCAATCATTGTTTGATCATTGTTTTTTTTCTTGTTTCTCTTGTTCTTTCCATCTCACATTTTCACATTTCACTTTATTTTATTTTTTTTATTTGTTCATTTTTTTAAATTGTTCCATTTCTTTTCTTTTTTTTAATTTTCACATTTTTGTTCGCTTTCTATTTTGATTGCTTTCATTCATTCACCTTCTATTCGGTTGTCATTTTGTTTCTGTTCATTCCCTTTTTGCTTCCATTCGTTGGTTCACTTTTCCCTTTGCTTGCCCACCTTTCACTCATTTGTTCTTTTGCTTGCTTTCGTTTGTTCGTTTATTGCTATTTTTTTCCATTTTCTTGTTTTACTTTTGCTCATTCATACTTTAATTATTTCTTTCTTTCAGTCCATTCCGTTTGGTCTCACTTGTGTTTGTTTCTCTTATACTTTTTCACTTGTTCTTGCATTTGCTCATTCTTTTTTCTTTCATTCAGTTTCTCATTCTTGCATTTCTCTTTTTTCCTCTTTTACTTCTTCATTTGTTACTTTGTTTGCTCTTTTCTTCTCTCTCATGACTCAGTGTACTGTATTTAGCTGTGTTTTGTCAGTTTTTGGGATAGAGGGTGTTATAGAGATCTGGTGCTGATGTGTGTGACTGTCTCTGCTGACTCAAGAGGTGCGATCAGTGGAAATTTTAGTCTAGCATGCCCACTGTCCCTCTCTCTTGCTCTCTCTCTCACTCACTCTCTCTCTCTCTCTCTCTCTCTCTCTCTCTCTCTCTCTCTCTCTCTCCAACACACTGGGTTTCACCGCTTTGCAATAATGTCTCTCTCTGCAGAGTGTGTTTGTTGCTTTGGTGCTGACAGGTGCGCTTGTTCCTGGCAAGGTGTGCAGTGTCCTGCGGTCTCTAGCTTGCACTGCTGCTGATATGTGATTCAGCTGAAATGTTTCAGTGTAGTACAGAATCCTGAACACCAAGCGGTTCATGCTAATTCATCAACACTTGGCTTCCAACATTACTGGAAACAATGTAGTCTTTTGGCCAAATCAGATTTGGTAACGTTACTTGTTTTACAGTACTGTGATCACAGGTTTGATAGGATCGTTTGACCAGAGAGAACAATTTACATCAAGAATACAACACATTGATACCATTGACTGTGTGTCAGTACCACAGCCTCATTTTCATTTGTGTAAAATTACATTTGGTGTCTGCTGTCTTGGTACATTACTCAAATGGACAACATACAATTCATAAACATCTAATTACACAATTTATATTCATAGGCAACATTACACATAAGATGAACTTTGATTTAAAGGGGTCATTTGATGCGATTTCAATTTTTCTCTTTGGAGTGTTACAAGCTCTTGGTGCATAAAAAAGATCTGTAAAGTTGCAAAGACTAAAGTCTCAGATCCAAAGAGGGATTCTTTATATAAGTTAAGAGTCAACCACGCCTACCTAAATCAGCTCTTTCTAACACGCCCCCACATATCTACCTCACTGTGTGGGAAGATTTGCATAACGCTGCCCAAATGTTCACGCAAAGAAAGAAGGCATAACTTTTATTCTCACTGTAGTATTGTTGATGCTGCAGCCATGTCGTGAAGACGCTGTGTGTTTCGTTGTGAAAGCGAAACTACTTTGTTTGGTCTTCCAAAAGAGGACGATATCTGCTTCGTCATGCCTAGAGCTGATCTGTGCTGGTCGCTGAGGGAATACATCAGCTTTCACCGTGGACGAAGCGGAGTTCAGCCCGGGGTCGTCACGTGGTTGCCGCTCATTCGTTGGATCCGCCGGGTGCGCCGTTCTCGACCCCGCCGCCTCCGCTCACTCTAGCCCGGCCTCAGCTCACGCTAAGCCGGGGCTTCCACTCACGCTAGCCCGGCCTCAGCTCACTCTATCCCGGCCTCAGCGCACGCTAAGCCGGGGCTTTCCCTCACGCTAGGCCACTGTGCTTTTCGTTGTGAAAGTGAAACTACTTTGTTTGGTCTTCCAAAAGAGGATTTGTAATGGGT